ATAGTTTCAACCACTACTGTAGTCATCGTTGATGATTGAGAAGATCCAAAATTTTCTACAACATTTATTTTGTCCTCGTGAATGTGAATATGGTGTCTATCTAATCAGAAGATATCTCAAACACCATTAATCTTGTGTTGAACACTTTAATCCCTTGGTCTTTAATCTTTATCGTTCGTTGTTGGAAAGGGCTTAAACGAAAATATGTTACTCCTTATTTAGAGGGAGAGAGATCTCCACCGATAAGATCTTTAAATGGAAGCTCTAATCATTGAAAATCTACTAAAGATGAATGTGACTTTTTTTTTTGTGGATGGTTGTTAATTTTAATTTGTTAAGTGGGGTGACTAAAAGTTTTGGTATAGTTTTTTATAACAGTGTTTAGGGATGATAAGAGACAAAGGTTGATCGGAGAAGTTCAATTAATAGTTGTTTAAGATGATAGACAATGAACGAAGAATAAAGAATGATAGACGACAAAGAAAGTGATTGATAGAGAGCATAAAATTAATATTAATAAAATATCAGTTGATGGTTATATGATTCAGATGTTGATTAATCATATCATCACACAAAGATAATACACAAGTGACAAATCAGAGCAATTCAAAAGTTGAGTAATTAAATTAAATTTTTTAAAATTTAGTGACCAAAATAAGAGTGAAGTAAAATTTGAGTGATGGACCCTTAATTAAATTATTTAAGCAATTAAGGGGTTTTATTATGATTTTCGCCGTGCTTTTCTTTTTCTTTTCTCTTTAAATTTGTATTCCTGTATATTTGAATTTTTGTATTATTTTAATTAATAATTTTTTTTAATAACTCTAATAAGAATGATTAATGCTTTTTTAAACAAGAATGATTAATGTTTCTTCTACTCTAGCAACATTTTTTTAGAAGTGATTGGTGGAGAGCGTAACAATTAATATTAATAATATATGAATTGATCTTTAAAATATGATTTAAAATTAATTATCTGTGTATTAGAGATAATTAAAATATGCCAATAAGTGGTTGGGTTTTAAAAATGCGAGCTTATAAAGTCAAGTTCGAATCCTACCACCATTACGCTTGGCGGACAATCTGTAAATTCTATAAATCTCAATTGAGTCTTGCGTATGTCCGAGTTTTGGACTGAGGGAGTCATCATTGACCTAAACTTTTGGTGTACCCAAAAGAAGAGCTAATTAAAATATTAAAACTTAATTTTAAATTTAATGATTCAAATAAAAAATATTTAATTATGATTTTAATCTCTCAATCGGGTTGAAATCTATGATCTACTTGTTTATTCTTATTTAAAATTATTCAATACTATTGTTTAAAAACTATGTTTTTAAATCAAAATGAGGGTTAGTATGTGTAGTCGTATTTATGAAAATATTTAATTTTTTTAATATTTAATTATTTTATTTATATTTTTAATCCTTAAAAATTTATAATTTTACACTTTAAGTTTTAATATAATTTTCTAAATATATATATTATTTAATATAAAATGATATATCCTTCTTACCCTTAATTATTATAGTTAAATGTTTGTGTTTTTCAAAAGAAAATGTTTATGTGATAATATCCTTAAAAGTGTTTACCATTATACTAACACCTGTTATTATATTAAAAAAATTTATTTCTTAAAATCAATTCTTCTAAAATATATATCTACATATGTATGTGGTTAGGATCTAATTATATACTGTAAAACTGAATTTTTTTATATCTTTTTAGGATCGTTGGATGAAAAAAAATCAAATGTTGAAATTAACAGTAAAAATAATGAGAAGATATTCATTGAAAAAAAAAATGAATAGTTAATCTCAGCCTTTTGATTTCCCCTCATCCAACTCCTAAAACAGTGTAAAACTAAAAGTTAGTTTTACAATAGGTGTGAGTGGATCCTAACCCTATATGGGCTAAATCCAATTATATAGTGTAAAACTAAAATTTTAGGATTGTTGGACGAGAAGAAATCAAAAGCTGATATTAACAGTAGAAAATGAGAAGTTATTCACTGAAAAAAATAAGAAATTAATCTCAACCTTTGATTTTCCCTTATCCAACGATCCTAAAAAAATATAAAACTAAAAGTTTTACACTATGTATAAGTGGATCTAACTCTATATATATTAAGATCTAATTACATAATATAAAACTAAAATTCCATATATTTTTTAATAGATGAATTTCATGTTTTTAAAAATTTTAATATAATTTATTTTCTTCTATCAGTTTAGAATGAATATAATGTAATATATGTTCAAAGAATTTCAATCATTTGACATTGAACGTTCATATCTTTACATATATGATGGTTGAATTCGAAATCTTGAATAATAAGATCAATTTCTTAATTACTGAGATTATTTCTTTGATACATTTTTATATAATTTCTTTTTTTGATTAATTTGAAGTAAGTATAAGACAGTATCTGTTCAAACATAACTCTCAATCTTTTGACATTAACGCTTATACTCCTGACATCTGTTCATATAATTTTCTTTTTGTAACAAAAAAAATTATATTTGGTCCCTATTAACTAGTGTTGATTGGTGGGTGGTATTTGATTGATTGAATGTGGTGGCCAACATTCCAAATTTATAAGTAAAACTATAGTTTAGTCCTTTTATCATGCTTCATTTTGTAATCTAACTCGTTTATTTTAATTTGACATAAATTGATCTCTTTATTTTTATAATATTAAAGAACAGTAGTGTTATTTTTGTCATCGCTGCTTAATATTTAGATTCATTAGTTTTAATATAAAAATATGAAAAAAATCATATCAAATTAAAGTATTAAATATCAACGGGTTGGTTCAAGTGACAAACAATTTGATATCACTTAAGCAGTTATCGAGTTCTAGTCCTTGTGTGCGTAGAAAATCCCTACTCAAAGACTCACCCACTAAAGTCAAGTGTGCTACACGGGTCATCCGAATTAGTCAGGGTGAAACACTAGAATGGAGAGGGCAACCAAATAATAATAATATGGCTTAATATAAAAATAAGTGCCTAAACTATACTCAAAATTAACTTTTGGTGCCTAAAGAATTTTTCGTTAAATATAAGTGCCTAAAATTTTCTTTGTTACATTTTTAGGTGCATGGCGTTAAAAAAATCGTTAAGTGACACGTGTCATATCTATATTTTTAAAACTTTAGACTTTAGACACTTATTTTTAACGAAAAATTCTTTAAGTACTAAGACGTTTTTCGATACATTCTTTAAGCACCTATTTTTGTATTAAGCCTATTAATAATAATAATGTTTTTGTTTGAGAAAGTTAATGGGGATGGGGAGTCCATCCTTTGCAATACAAAGTAATAAAAGAAAGGGCATCCATCACATGCCATTGTCATCCTCCTCTTTACATCTCATTCAACCCAATTTCCTTGGGGTTCTTTATGCCTTGACGGCCTTTTCATATTTTTTTTTGAAATAATTCATTTGCTCAAATTTATATATAAAATTACAGCTTTTAATATAAGTAGTGAAGTAATTCTAAAAAGTTTTGGATAATGATATTAAGGATCAAGTGATAAAAAAAAGCAACATTTAAAACAAAATAAACAATTTTTGGGTTTTATAAAATGAAAAGCATGTAAAAAATAATTTTAGTTTTAATCCCTCTACTTTGTTAAAATTTGAACTTGCTTTTGCAGTGCTAATTGTAGGTCAAAATTGATATTGTTATTTATCTACTTCTGATAACATCATAAACATTGTTAGGGTTGCTAACATGTTAGATTTTGGATTTTTTTTTGCCAAGCATAGACATAGTTTAGTCCCTTTTATCTCTATGTTGTTGGTATTAACTATTAAGCATAAACAAAGAAAATTCATGTCTTTAACATGTAACAATTAATATATTAATTCGCACCTACTAATATTATTATAAAAATAAAATGATTAAATTATGTTAATTCAAATTAGATGATCTAAATATGAAAATATTAGGAGGACTAACATCACAATTAGACCCAAACGAGTGTTTAGATAAGCCATAAGCCTGGATGGGTGTTTCGTGGCTCCACATCATTTTCCATGTTTGAAGTAAATTTTCTTAAGAATATACATTACTTTATTTGAAACGGTCCACAATCTTTCTAGTTTTCATTTTCAAACCCCCAATTATTCATATCCTCTATCAATTCAACCTTCAAATAGTTCTAGTCTTCAAGACAAAGTTGTTTTCACCTTGAAAATGAAATGCTTAAAAAACAAATTATTGGACGGGCCCACCAAATTAAATTATTTAAAAAAACCCTCATTGAAAACCCCTTCTAAGACCCTATAAAGGGAAAAGAGTGCGTAGAACCTTGTATTACCAGGAAAAAAATCATTATATAAAGCAGACGTAATAATCTCAGGACAAACCAAGTCAAAATACAAGATATTTCCAGGACGGAGAACCCACCTAACCAAAGTATGCACCACAATATTACAAACTCTAGGAACCAAATTAAGCTAATATGACTAAATTAGGACAACAATAATTTTCTTAAGCATGGTTGATAAATTAACACCAGTTCAATAAAAAATAATTAATATTTTTTAAATATAACAATTAGTATCTAATTTATAATAACTAATATACAAAGTAATTAGACTAAATGGCATTGCATTAAGCAATGAATAAGCTTTAATTAGTGTAGACATATCCAATCGAGTGAAGTGAAAATAAATATTACGTATTATTTTATTGTCTAATTTTTTAACCAAGTTAAATTCACAAAATTCAAATAGAATCATATATATATATATATATATTTATCTCAAATTTGAATAAAATAATATAAATAATTTTGATTTAACTGGCTCTCTCTAACCATATACAATATACATATTATTTTTTTCACATATAAGATTTGTAATATTATTTAATACAAAGTTTATAAAATATTCCAATTGGAAGACCAAATTAAACAAAACACGAATGATAGACTAAATTGAAAAAGAGAATTAATATCCAAACATAAATATGCTAAGAACAATGGAAAAAGATTATTCTAAACGAAGTTCGACATCTCAACTCATCTCATCTATGGCACGAGGCCTTTCTAAAAAGTTCAATGAAATTTTAGCAGGTGACAGAACATAGAACTTACTTTATGTATCGAAAATTCAGCAGGTTACTGTTATACCATAAGTTCATCTTCGAGATGGTTATACTCGAACGTGAACTCGGTCTTGATTCTCTGACACCTGAATATCACAGCATTTTTTAAAGAATAGCATGTTAGCATAATCATAAGTTTTAAGTGAAATTGTGATTCGACCAGGCAGATACTATAAAATGCTTTCCTAAATAATTGAGAAGTTCATTATTCAAGGCAACTTACCATCCATGTTGGTGATCATCATTTGCTATGTGAAAATCAAAGTATACATACGTTCCCTGTTCAAATTCATCGGTTGCGATTTTCGGTTCCTCGTGCCGCTGAAACCATGTGTTGTATTTTCTGTGGTATCTCCAAGATTGCTTCTTCAGCTCCTTTGCGGCCAGATATTGTTGGTAAGTATTCTGCACAAAATTTTACATGTGGGAGAGCTCATCAAGTTCTTGTATTGCACAAAAAACACAGAGAGTAGAAGATGAAGAAGAACCTATTTACCTGTTGGTAGTAAAATGCAAAGAACAGGGTATCAGTGCCAGTGCCATATCCATCGATGCTTAAGCGCTCCCAGAAGGCAGGATTATTCACAATGGGTGCCTGAACTTGAGGGTAGCTAGCAGGCGTTGCCGCAGGGAGCTTCTGCAGAGAACAAGCAAATCACAATTCTTTGAACCTACACATTTGTCATCTATCTTTCGAAGAAAAATGAAGATTAGCAGGAATCTCGTACCGGAATGTAGCTCCTAGCACGTTCCGAGTCTTTAGGTTGGGGAATTTTATAGTATGCAGCCTCGAGCATCTGCAAATTGTATAATTGGTCATGCATTCCTCCGGTATTCATTGAGCCACTGAGATTGTCACCGATGGCACCAAAATCAGAAACACTTCTCCGGCCAATAACACCAGGACTACTAGAAGACTGGTTAGATTGTAAGGGTTGCCCTGGAGATAGATTAATATCCCTGATAACTTGAGCAGGTTCCGCCAAAGAGCCTGATACAGCAGTCTGCAGCGAAGAACCATTGACAGATCACTTACGTCATA